AAGAGTTGGATACAACTGAGGGACTCCACCACTCCACCACAAGCTCACATTTCAGAAACGGTTCTAATTCCAATTCCATTGTGTCCCATTCAGGGTCACAAAACAAAATGGAAGAGTTTCCAAGCTCTTACAAAACAGCAATACTCTTGTTCTTGAACTGTGTAAGGACAAACACATAGTGATCAACCTCATTCACCAAGCTAAGACACTGAAATTTAGCCTTTTGTGAAAACAATCAAAGCTTGAAAATTTTCTAAGGAAAACAGATGAATCTCCATGTCATTGTAGAGAACAGGAGCCCAGAGATGCTATGCACTGGTTCTCACAACTGGCCCGGGCCCTCACTTCTGAGAAGGCTGACTACTCCCTCTTCAATGACAGAGGGAAGGATCACCCTGGCTGCTGCTCTGACTCAGGCCCCGTCTTCCTCCTCCCTTGCAGACAAGAGTGGGAAGGCCCTCAAAGCTCTCTGTTTGACCCTGAGCACACACACCATGACTTGCCACTTGCTGGTCTCCACATAGGCCAGGAGACCCCACAGGAGCTCAGCCAACAGGGTGACTGTCAGGCACCTGCTGGTATTCCAGGTATCCCTCCCGCACCCACACTTGGGTCAGCAGCTCCCTGAGCTCCCCAAAGAGACAGTGCTCACTCCCAACACACACCCCCATCCTGCTGAGTGCTCCCAAGACTGCTTCCTCAGGGGACAGGTCTTCATTCTGCATGATCAGGCTGAGGACCAGCACCAGGAGGCCAGTCTTGGCCAGGCTCTGCCCACTACTCAGCATCACATCGTAGGTGAGGCCGAGCGTGGTGACCATGATGTGGATGTGCTCCCTGGGGTCCAACTCCTCTACCTCCAGGCCAACAACCACCTGTAGGCACTCTGAGGCTTGACTGAAGACCACCAGGATGGGCTCCTGGTTATCCCTGAGGACCTTCTTCAGCATTTCTGCCTGGGATGTAAGATGTTTGGCCAGATACTACTTGAACAAGAACTTCATCAAATTAGCCACCATCTCATGCAGAGCTTCTGGGGGCAAGGCCTCTGCAAGAGTGGAGCAGGAGGCTATTGGGGAGGAGGCTGAGGGGGATGCAGCCTCCCCCACCTCAGCCCCAGAGAGCTGCACCTCCACAGGGCCCTGGCCTCACCTGGGTCCTGAAGGTCTTCCTTGAGCTTGCTCAGCTCAGTCGTCTTGATAACGAGCATGATGCCTTGGATCAAACTACAGAGTGAGGAAGGAGTGAGGCTTCGGGCAAATGGTACAGATGGGGACCACGGGCCTGGATGGATAGACGGGCTGTGAATGGCCTCACCTGAGAACCGCACACTGGCAGCCGCAGGCCACTGCAGGTCTCCTCTTGAAAAGTGCTCTCAGACCTCACACGGGCATGCCTCTGGAGCGACCAGTCCCCTGGCTACCTGAAGGAGGGAGTGAGGTGGCTCCCCAGGGTGTAGTCAGCACAGCCCGAGATTTCTGGAACTAACAAGGTAAGGGGATTAGACCCTTGTGGGGTCCCCTCTGTTCTGGGATGGGCAGCCCTTGGTGTCCAATCAGAGCACCCTCGTCACTTGACTCCTCACACTGCCTGGACCTCCTCTGCTCTCTGACCTCAGGACATGGGCCTCAGACGTCTGCCTTCACCTCCTGGTTCCTGCAGCTCCTGTGAGAGAAATGGAGAGGGCACCTTGGTGGTATCCTGTGGCACAGCCCTGAGCATTCTCTGACGGTATGAGGGGTGGACACTGTGCGGTCCCCACAGTTGTATGGTGAGAGGTCCCCTCAGAGCTCCCTTGTAGTGCTTACCTTTCCCCTGGCACAACCTGGTCCCTCCCCTCTGGGGGCCTGCAGGGAAACTCAGAACAAGACCCGAGACTGAACAGAAAGCGCTGAGGGCCCCCACATGCGGCCGCACCTGCCCAGGGTCGACTTCGGGGCCTAGGCTAGGGAGATGTTCGGTCCTCAGCTCCTCCTCACGTCCTGCCTGGCCTCCCAGCACTGACCACAGAGGTGGGGGTCTGCTCAGTCCTCCATTGGGGTTGAGGAGTCCAGCCTATGCTGACCTAAAGCCTTCACCCTCTGCTTGAAAAACCTCACCTCCCGAGGTCCCTAAGCCAGACGTCAAGAAACTGCTCACTCCACTCTGGGCCCTCCAAGACCCTCTTGCAAGGGCCAAGATCCCTCCCTGTTGGGGTCTAACTGCCTCAGTCCTTCCCTGCATGGAGCCTAGACTCCAGACAAGACCTGCAGTTGTCCCGTCTGCCATTTGGAGGTTCCCCTGCTTTCAAGAGGTCCCCAGTCTCTCTGCCAGGGTTGTCAGGCCATGCGGCATGAGGTCATCCTGCCCAGGGATGACCAGGGTTCCCTCTCTTCTGAGATCTGGCTACCTTCAGTCCTCCCTCAGGGTCCTCACCTTGATTTCCAGGAGGACCTAGTCTCTGTCCTCTCCCCACCATAGTCCTTACTCCTCACACCAAGTCACAAGTCTCACAGAGCTGGATGTCAGGAACTCAGGACAGACCTAGTGTGCTCTTCTCACCCCGAGGGCTCCCAGGGCCGATGGCAGGGGAAGGGATCTATGGGGTTCCATCAATCTTACCTTGGGATCCCTAGATTTTTCACTTGGGGTCCCTTCAGCCTTCCCTCAGAGACCTCACCTTATCTCCAGGTATGACTTCAGATTATCTCCTCTCCCCTATTAATGTCCCAAACCTCATACCAGGACCCCAGTCTTTTTGAGATGCGGATGTCAGTAAGTCATCTCTCTATACTAGGACACCAGACTGAAATCTGGATATTAGGAAGTCAGCCCCCTATACCAGGTCCCCAGTCTCTCTGAGACCCAATCAGGAAATGCAGCATACGTACATCCACCCTATGTCCTCCCAGAGCCCACTCTGCTCTGGGGTCCAGGGTCCCCTCAGTCCTTCCTCAGTGTCCTCACCTTGACTCTCAAAAGAAAGATCTTTCCCACTGCCCATCTGAGGCCTTGCCCCTTCTAACAATTGCCTAATGTCTCTGAGACACAGATGTGGAAGTCAGAAGAGGCTGCCAAGTGCTCATCCCACCACCAGGGTGGCCCAGGGCTGACAGCAGGATCAGGGATCTATGGGGTTCCTTATATCCTCCTTCAGGAAACTCATCTTGAGCCCTGGCAGATCTGGGGATACCCCTTGTGTTTACTAGATGTGGGACACTCACATCAAGTCTCAGGGAGCACAGAGGGTGGATGAGCACATGCTGTATTTCCTGACATCTGGGTCTCAGGGAAACTAGGGACCTAGGAAAGGGGGTGTAGCCTCAGGTGAGCAGAGGGAAGAAGCCCAGCTCCTCCAGGGTTTCAATTTGAGGACCCTGAGGAATGATTGTGGGGACCTTGGACCCCAATCAGAGGAGACCTCAGAAAAGCCTGGAGCTGCTGTTGGTCCTTGGTGGATCTTGGATATGATGAGCCCAAAGTGCATGGTCTCACTTCCTGACATCCGGTCTCTGAATGGGGACCTCGCATATGGCATGGGGCTTCAGGTGAGGCTATTCCCAGGTCCTGCAGGTGTGAAGAACTTGAGGACCCTGAAGAGGGACTAGAGGACCCTGACCCCTAATCTGAGGAGACCTCAGAGAAGCGCATCTCTGTTGTCAGTCCAGGGCAACTGTGGGGGCAGGATGAGTGCCACAGGCATGAGCTGACTTCCTGACATCCGGGTCTTCAAGAGACTGGGGTCCTGGTATAAGGGGCGGGGCTTCAGTTGCGGAGAGGCAAGAATCCAGGTCCTGCGCGGAGGCAAGGTGAGGTTCTTGAAGGAGGACTGTGGGGACCCTGAGTGAGGATCGATGGAACCTCACAGATCCCCATCCCTGTAGTCGGTCCTGGGAGCCCTTGGGATGAGAATAGCACACTAGGTCTGTCTGACTTCCTCACATGCGGGTCTCTGAGGGACTGGACGCCTTGTGAATGCGGCGGGGTCTCAAAATGGCGGACGGGACAATCGCGTGTCCTGCCTGGAGTCCGGGCTCCATGCGAGGAAGGATTCAGGTGGTTCGACCCCAACAGGGAGGGATCTTGGCCCTTGCAAGAGGGTCTTGGAGGGCCCAGAGTGGGGTGAGCAGGGTGAGCAGTTTCTTGACCGCTGGCTTAGGGACCTCGGGAGGTGAGGTTTTACGGGCGGAGGTGAAGGCTTCAGGTTGGCAGAGACTGTACTCCCCAACCCTGATGTTGGACTGAGCAGACCCCCGCCCCTGTGGTCAGTACTGGGAGGCCAGGCAGGACATGAGCAGGAGCTGAGGACCAAGCATCGCCCCAGCCTAGGACTGGCACGAGGCCCTGGGCAGGTGTGGCCGCATGTGGGGCCGCTCAGGGCTTTCTGTTCAGGCTTGTGTCTTTTTTTGAGTTTCCTTCTACTCCTCCAAAGGGGACAGTCCAGGCCATGCCAGGGGAAAGGTGACCCACCATACAACTGGGTGTAGTCAGAGTGTTCGTCCCCACCTACCAGCACAGAAGGCACAGGGCTGTAGATGTCACCTCCGTTTCTCTCACAGGAGCTTCAGGAACCAGGAGGTGAAGGCAGAGGTCTGAAGCCTGTGTCCTGAGGTCAGAGAGCAGAGGAGGTCCAGGCAGTATCAGGAGTCAAGGTGAGAGGGTAACCTGAAGTGAACCAGAGGCTCCCTATCCCAGAACAGAGGGGGGCCCCAGAAGGCCCCAATTCCTCCCACTTTGTTGGACCCAGAAATCTCGGGCTGTGTTGCCCACACACTGAGGAGCCAACTCACTTCCTCCTTTGGGTAGCCAGGGGAATGGCCTCCCAGGAGGAGCGCTCCTGTGAGGTCTGAGAGCACCCCTCAAGGGGAGAGCTGGAAGTGGCCTGTGTCGTACCACCCAGGATGCGTTTCTAAGCCCACGTTGCTCACACCTCCTCTCTCCCAGAGGCCCTTGGTCCCCATCTGTACCTCTGCCTCACTTCCGTGTCTTGTTTGACCTCAGGCACTGTGCTCGTGGTTGAGATGAGTGAGCTCAGCAAACCCGAGGAAGACCTTCAGGACCCAGGCGAGGCCCAGAGCCCTGTCGAGGTGCTGCTCTTGGAGGCTGAGGTGGGAGAGGCCGCATCCCACTTGGCCTCCTACCCCCCAGCATCCTCCTCCGCTCCTGTGGAGGACTTGCCCCAAGAAATTCTGGATAGGATGATGACTAACCTGATGAAGTTCCTGCTCCTCAAGTATCGAGCCAAGGAGCTGACCTCTCAGGCGGAAATGCTGAATAAGGTCCTCAGGGATAACCAGGAGCACTTCCCAGTGGTCTTCAGCGAAGTCTCAGAGTGCCTGAGGCTGGTCTTTGGCGTGGATGTGAAGGAGGTGGACCCAGTGGAGCACACCTACATCTTGGTCCCCATCCTGGGCCTCACCTGTGATGAGATGCCAAGCGATGGGGTGGGCCTGCCCAGGGCTGGCTTCCTGGTGCTGGTCCTCAATGTGATCATGCGGTGTGGAGACCCGGCCCCTGAGGAGGCAGTCTGGGAAGCACTCAGCAGGTTGGGGGTGTATGTTGGGAGGGAGCACTGTGTCTTTGGGGAGCCCAGGGAGCTGCTGACCCAAGTGTGGGTGCGGGAGGGATACCTGGAGTACCAGCAGGTGCCTGACAGCCACCCTGCTCGCTATGAGTTCCTGTGGGGTCCCCGGGCCTATGTGGAGACCAGCAAGTGGCACGTCATGGCATTTATGCTCAGGGTTAATGAAAGGGGTTTGAGGGCCTTCCCATTCCTGTCTGCAGAGGATGCGAGGGAGGAGGAATAGGGGGCCTGAGACAGCAGCAGCCAGCTTGATCCATCTCTCTGTGATTAAAGAGGGGGTAGTCAGCTTTCTAAAATGTGAGGTCCCGGGCAATTGGGGGAACCAGTGTGTAGCGTCTTTTGGTTCCTGTTCTCTATGATGACATGGGGATTCAACTCTGTTTTCTTTAGAAATTTTTCAAAGTTTGGTTTCAGAGAAGGCTAAAGAAACTTTAGTATCTTAGCTTTGTGAACGATATTGATCTGAGTGTTTTTGTGGTTACACAGTTCAAAAACAAGAGTTTTGTTGTTTTGTAAAAGAGATTCTAAAGTCTTCCATTTTGTTTTGTGGTCCTGAACAGAATGCAATGGAATCAAAATTAGAACTGTTTTGAAAACGTGAAATTATGTAGCAACAGTATTGAATGGAAAAGAGTTAGATAATAAAAGTAATCATAGTGAATTCATGCTTATGTCCTTCTTGTCTGTCATTCACAATAAATAAATGATCTCAGTTAATTGAATTTTCCTGGGTTATTAAAGAAATTAGCAGACAATCTGAGACCTCTGCTCACTGGCTCAGTTATTCCAAAGACTTGTACAGATTCTCTGCTTCGTGAAAGGCCATGCTAGCAGTGGGGACACTAGGAGCAGCAGGGCACCCCCACACTTACAGCAATGGTCCACGAGCCGCAGTCACATGAGGTTTGTCTTGGGGATGAGGGGAATCTCTGAAATGGATCATTGCTATGAGGTGTCCTTTTGCTTCGTGGATAAACCCCAGAGAGATCTCTTTCTAGGGCAGGCAGGAAGGGGTTCTGGCTCTTGTCCCATAGCTGTTGACCACAGGGATGAAATAGGTGTTTTCTATCCACCATTTGCTAGGAATCCTAGAGAAATGTGAATCTTGCTCTTTGATATATGGCCCAGTATTCCTTATGCTAGCCTTCTTGTCTCTGCCTTGGGAAGCTGATTACCAAGTACATTGAAATAACAGTTTATTTGGTGATCTGCATTTTATGATTTTAACTTGTGAGCATGGTCTAGATTTCATTTGGATGAAATGAGTGAAGAGAAGCTGCATAAGTGGACAGCACCTGCTGTGTGACTAGAATCCTGGGATCTTTGAGTGAGCTGTGCCCAGCTGGTGACATTGCTCTCCACCCCGAAACACACACAGACACCGAAATTGATATATATTCTCTGGGAGGAAAACACAGAACAGCAATTCTGAGTGGTTTTCTATTCCATTTCTAATTAAGATGCCAATTCTCTGAGGTGTCCTGAAAAGAAAACAATTTCCAGAGGGGAGAAGGACAGAGTCTGAGATCTGAATAGCATGAGAAATAAGTACTAGCTAGTAAAGATGAAACATCTGCCAGCGTCCCTGGGTTCGGGCACGTTCAGAAGTGTGGAGGCAGCAGAGACCCAGGTTCAGGCTGTGCCTGGCATGAAAAGGCAGGAGCAACTTCCGGGCCTAAGGAGGTGGAGAGGTCACTGCAGTGGGGGTGTGGATGGGTGCAGGGGGCTGAAGGGGCAGCTCTCCATGCTGAGTGCTGGAGAACAACGGGAACAGATGTGATTCTGGTCACATATATGGCAGCTACCAGATAGTCAGGGGACGCTTGGAAAAGGTGGAGAATGTCAAGACCCATGTGACCTGCTCAGACTCTCCTCCCCAAAACAAAGGAGATTTTTAACTGCTGCTCTTTGTGGAGCATCTGCTAGGCAGTGTGGAATTGGAGAGATGTCAGGTGTCCAGTCACCTCTTGTCTTCCTCTCTCCCTGCACACATGGGGACATGATCCTGCCAGGCCTCTTCACTTAGGAAGGGTCATATGGTGACCCGGGTCTAGTGAATTTTGAGCAGAAGCATTTTTGTCAACGACCATTTGTTCTGAAGGGACACGGGCACCTGGGGGTTAATCCCCAAGTCAGGACAACACACAGACACAGACTACTCCACGTGTTGTTTCTCTTCCAGAGACTTAATCCCCTCACCTCTGACCCTTGAGAGAGGCTGCCCCACAGGGAACTGGCTGCAGGAATTCACCCACCCCCACCAAAGAACCACATCCTGCCCCCACCCCCCCGACGAGATGAACTGGTAGCATCCTCTGGGCTGTGCTCAGTCTCTTATCAGGAGGGCAGCAGCCAGCTGGCAAAGGCCCCTGTTGGGGTTGGGGGCTTCCTCCTCGTGGGGCCCAGCCCCGATGCCCCCCACCACTGCTGCCCATAGCGCCCACTCTCCCCCAGAACCTGGCCTTGGGTTTTGTCCTGCCTGTCCCCTCCCATCGCCCACTGAGAGTGGATTAGGCCCTGGTCCTGATGACCTCATATGTGTAACTTTATTTGGAAATCCCAGAGCAGCATCCCCTTCCATGGTGCTTCAGGTGGAGCCAGCAGGTCTTGATGCAGCCCCTGGGCACGTGTCCTCATCGGGGGTCAGTAGTAGTCATTGCTATGGAATTGCAGGGCACATCTCTAAGATCCTGAGGTGTATCAGACCATTCATTCCCTGTGGAACCCCTGTGGAGTGTGTGGGAGGAAACTCAGGGCCTTGTGAATGTGACTGAGGTCCTGGCTTTTGAGCCTGAGTGTGAGAGGCAGAGGGGTGTCTGGTCAGCCACCGGCAGAGCTAGCTAGGACTTTGGTGTCCCCAGTCATGCTGTTTGAGCAGAGGACAAGCTCTAGCAGATGCCTGGGGGGACGCTCCCCCAGGCGCCAGAGGCCCCAGACTCCAATGAGGATTCAGAAAGGAGCCAAGTAGGAGAGGAATCTGGGGCCCACGGGTGCAGGCTGCATAGAGGGTCAACAACCCCAGAGACATGGATGCAGCAAGCCCTGGAGATCCCATCAGACCTTCCTGGGTTTGGCCGGGAGAGGGACAGGGGAGTAGGTGAGATGCTGTCCGGGCCTCCACAAGGACGTCTGTGTTGTGGGGCCAAGGCTGGGACCACAGCCCCAGGGTGCACTCCATGATGTATATGTGGCAGCTCTCATGGCAGATACTCCTCTTGCGCCTTATGGGATATGACTGTTCGGTGTGGTGGGGTTCTTGCTCTGGTTACATAAGAACCTCAGGCCTTTGATTGCAAGGAGGCCCTAACTGCCCCTCACACCCACCGACTTATCTGGAGGTCCTTTCCAGGATCCAGCATCTTCTGCAGCAGCCTCTGTGTGGACACACACCACTCTGTTCCCAAGCTGATCTTTCCCAGGGCATCACAGATTGGACAGGCACCTCCCTTGGGTTAAAGATTCTCAGTGAGTGTTCTGCTTCTCTGAGAAGTCCCTGTGTTTCCTCATGTCTTCCTTGCAGGCTCAGCGTTAAAGAATCTGCCTGCAATGTGTGAGATGCAAGTTCAATCCCTGAGTGGGAAGGTACTCTAGAGGAGGAAAAGGCATCCCACTCCACTCTTCTTGCCTGGGAAATCCCATGGACAGAGGAGACGGGGTGGGGGTGTGTGTGCCACAGTCCATGGCGTAGTAAAGAGTCAGACATGACTGATCCACTGAGCACTCACATGGACGCACAGCTAAAGGTTTGCTCTGGACCCTTGTATCCTTGGCAAGACATTGACCCCTGCCTGGATCTTGACAGACTTCCGTGGCTAATAACACTGGCAGACATCTTAACGTGGTTTTTGAGCAAGTATGGGGTTCCAGGTCGACACCTGGCCTTGTCGACACCTTGTTCCAGGTCGGCACCTTCCAGGTCGACACCCCCATATATTCTCTACACCATGATCCCATTTATTTTTTCCCATGTTGGAAGACTTCTGTTTCACTGCAGGAAATAGGGCTGAATATTTTTTGTTGGGTTGTGATCTGTGTGACAAGTTAGCCACAGTTAGCAGTGATTTCTGGTTGGTTATTTAGGAAATTTTCCAAGTGCTAGCTTGTTCTCTTCCTTATTTCTGCATCTGGGGTCAAGAGAGGAGAAAACGTGACAAACACTACTTCAGCTAGGTGATCAAGGTAAATATCAATGGTGATAAATCATGTGGATCGTATGGGCCCTTGATATGATGTGATAAGAATGGCACTTTGTCTCTCTGGTCTTCCTCCCCAAAACTCATTACCCCAGTTGAATACTTTGGGACTTACACTTCTTTTCATGATGCCTGGATGTTGATTTTTATTAGATACTTTTCTGTATCGATGTAGGTCTGATTTTTCTCACTCAATCTGTTATTGTAACAAGGCAATCCTGGGCTTATGCATTCCCACATCCATCCCTCATTCTTTCTTGCTCTGTTCTAGATTATACAGAGGCCGAGTCTGGCAGGCTGCAATCAAACTAGCCAACGATTGGCTGCCATTTTGGTTCAGCTAACCAGAAACACCAGCAAGAGATTAGAATCCTGGAAGACAGAGCAGTCAAAGATTTTTTCCTTCCTCTGCATCAGGTCGCTTGTCCATCAATGGTTCCATATTCTTCATGGCACCAGCCATTCAACCATGAGGTTGACTCATCATGGCTCTAGATCCTGATGAATCCAACACCCAGGTTCCAGTAACACTATCTCCTTTCTTTGTCCTTCCATCCTAGAGATGAGTGATTTCCTCGTGTTGCTAATAATTGGGTTTCCCAATTCTCTCCTGGTTGGCTTCCTAAAACTTTTGTAACCAGCCCCTTGCATTAAGTTCCCTCTGTGGTAAATGTTTACAGTGGTTTCTATTTTCCTGGACAATCCTTGACTTACATGTAGCCAATTATAATGACTGATCTTCTAGTGTTAAACTCCTTTGCCTTCCTGGCATAAACCCAGCTGTGTCACCAGAAGTTAAATATGTTTGTCTCTTCTGTAATTCATAATAATAATAATAATAAAACAAAATACCCTGGGGTCTGAAACTTTCCCCAAATAATGTATCTCTCATTATCATCTTCAAAGCCTTCTCAAAAATAAT